GCCTGACAACGCTACCCCGGTCACCACCTGTGTTGGCCTTTCTTACGATTCACCGCCTTTTATTATTTTATTTTGTTGTTTTCAACGACGCGGTCAGTGGTCCTTCTCTGAGCGGTCTTCAGCTCAGAATCTCTCCAAAGGACAGCTCGGTAGGGGGGATAGCTTACGGTTTCGGGAAGAGTCCCTTGCGTTGATTCGTAGAGGAGGCTACGTGAGCAGGTGCTATGCATACACCCCGACAAGGCGATGTGTGTTCTGCCCATTGTCCATGTATTGAGTAGAAGGCAAGCAAAGGACCCCTCCCCCCCTCGTCGCTCCGTCCCGGCATTGTAGGGATGCTAACGACTACGGCAATGCGTGTACATGAGTACCCCCCCTCCGCTGCTATTCCACCTGTCAGGTGGCAGGCCGCGAGCAGCGTTGGCCAGGGGTCGGGCGGCAATAACCCGGGCCACAACAGCACCATCTCGCCGATCGGCGGGGCTCGTGAGGATGGCGACTGACCAGGAAAAGGAAGGAGTTGCCACCGAGGAGCCAAAGGATGTGAGTGTGTGTGGCGGGTTCAGATGGAGGTCAGGTCGAGGACCACCACTATGAGAGAGGTGCAGATCGAGGCTTGCCGTTGATCGCAAAATTGATTACGGGGGTGGGTGATTTGTTGCATGCGAAGAATGACTATTTTGCTGGAGAGAAAAGCTGCGTTGTAGTGTATGCTGCTCGAGCAGGCATCGTGCTGGCCCTGCTGTGGTTTTGCTATGCATAGATGCCTGCGAAGCATCGGAGCAGTATGAAAGACGTGGCTCGATGCGAGGCAGAATGTACCTCACCTGCGAGTGCCTGCTTTGAAAAGGCCGTAACTGTTGGTTGTGGGTTTTATCTTTTTTTGTCTCTCCGTGTTGTCGGGGAACTTGGGTCTTGTGTTGGTGTTCAGGGTTCTCAGCAACTGCTACTGTCGGTGTCTGCCAAACTATTATGTTTTGAGTCTCTTGATGGTAGTTTCTCGACTCGTGTTACCCCTCAACAAATCCCTGTTGATACGTAGTTTCTCGACTGGAGCTACTCCTCCATCAATGACGACTGACCGCTGTTCGCAATATATCAACGCTGTCCGCTGTTGGACGCCATCGAAGGAGCTTGGCGACGACAAGCTTATCTACGACGCTCGGAGCGGGCGATTCTACGAGAAGAAGCTGGAGGAGGTTTGCCGAGAGGAGTACTGCGCGATCGATGAAACCACCGGTGAGCCGGACGTAGAACACTGCAGAGAGGAGCGAATCAAGCACAACACATACGCGTTCAGGCGCAAACAAGAATATCAGGCAGCTACAGAATCGGGTGCATCAGGAGGGGGGCTTGGGAGAGGAACCCTTCTGTGTGATGGGACGACGGATTGACGCATCGTCCTGCCCCGGAAAAAAAGCTATTTCTGTGAGCGCTGATTTATAGTGATGAAAGAAGACAAATCGAAACACAATCGGGCAGAACGGGTGGTACAAGTAAGTCTGGCATGGAAGAGGCGAGAAGGGAGGGGGGGGGGGTGTCGCGGACAGGGATGGGGGGAGGGAGCGACT